CAGAAAGGCTACATTGAGCGGGTTATTGCTAGGTTCGGGTTGCAAGGTGCAAAGTCGATGGTGACTCTATTGGCTCCACATTTCAGGCTCTCTGGTAAACAGTTTCCTACTACAGCGGAAGAAAAGGTACGCATGGATCGTGTGCTTTATGCTAGTGCAGTTGGCAGTTTGATGTATGCCATGGTGTGTACACGCCCAGATATTTCACAGGCGGTGAGTGTGGTCAGTAGATTCATGGCGAATCCGGGAAAGGCACACTGGGAAGCTGTGAAGTGGATCCTGAGGTACTTAAAAGGTACCGCGGATACGGGTTTATGTTTTGGTGGAGATGCATGTCATATAAGTGGGTTTGTGGACTCTGATTATGTGGGTGATCTAGATAGACGACGATCTACTACTGGATATGTGTTTTGCATACATGGTGCCCCAGTTAGTTGGCGATCGATGTTACAGGCTACAGTTGCTCTTTCTACTACAGAGGCCGAGTATATGGCCATGGCAGAGGGAGTGAAGGAAGCATTGTGGTTATGGGGTCTTCTAGATGATTTGGGGATTGAGCAGGACTGTGTGGATTTGTGGTGTGATAGCCAGAGTGCGATTCACTTGGCTAAGAATCCGGTTCATCATGCTCGAACCAAGCATATTGACGTCAGGTATCATTTTGTGCGTGATGTTATAGAGGAAGGTGATATTTCACTCTCAAAGGTACATACAAATGATAACCCAGCTGACATGTTAACCAAAGTGGTGACGAGTAGCAAGTTTCAACATTGCTTGGACTTGCTTCACATTAGTCCGTGTTGATATGCCCGAGAGGGGCGTGGCCCTTCGGGGCGAGGTTGAAATGAGGTGGAGAGTATAGAAGGTGGAGGTGAACTACGGAGGCTTGATCCCGAGTTTTGGGTACGTAGGCAATCATGGTTTGAATGATGCAGCCGAGTTGATGCTTGTCTCTTCTTCTTGTGTTCGTCCAAAATTTGAGGTTTATCAAATGATGTACGAGGTGGAGAATTGTGAGAAGAAGAGAAGCTGGGAAGCTGGGAAGAAAGGGAGGAGAAGGGGCTGGGTCTGCCAGGCGCCCAGGCGCCACTCACATGGCGCCTAGGCGCCCCGAGTGTTATCTCTAGCAGGAACCTGGCGCCTAGGCGCCCCGAGAGAGTATATATATCCGGTTTTTTGCCCCTTTCATACAACTCAAGACCTAGGTTCGAATTTTAGAGAGAAAGAAGAGAGAAAACTTGGTGAGAATTCTACAAGTTGAAGGTTGTTCATCTTGGGTACAAATTCTAAGTTATTTTCTTTCTTGGGGATTAACTTGAGGCTTGTTCAAGTAATCCAAACACATTGATTATCATATATTCCATTGAAATTCATTTCTTCCTCATTTTTTCTTGTTCTTCAAGTGTTTTGGAAATTTTCACTTTGTCAACTTTGTTTGATCTTTGGGCATTCATTGGGAGGTGTTTTCCCAACATTAAGACTTCCCCAATGTACCAGCAGAGAATTAATGATATGTAACCAAAACCAAATTAATTGGGCCCTTAAAGTTTATCTTTGTAACCTAAGAATGAACAATAAATTTTAAGTAATGACACATTTATTGTTGAGCTAATTAGTATAAAAAGAGGGTCATAGACTTTCTTAATCACTTAAACAAATAAGAAAAGCAAAACAACTAGAGAAAAAATGAGCAAAAATGGCTTCTTTCCTACACAACTTCTCATCTGTCTTGATTTCCATGGTTCTCATTTTCTTGCTTGTGGTTCCATCCTTAATGTGCCACTCAATGGAGGAAAAAGATCTTCAGCACATTTGCGCCAAAACCCAGAATGCTACAGAGTGTTTGAATCTGTTCAAATCAGATCCCAGAAGCTTGAACACAGATATAAAGGGCCTAACAGGAGTTGCAGTCGACCTGGCGTTGAACAAATCCAATGCTGTCCACACCCAGTACAATCAACTTTACGCGGACACCAAGAATTCTGAATTGCAGGAGAAGTATATTGCTTGCTCCAAGAATTACAATGATGCCATTCGTGATCTTCAAGTGATGAAGAAGTATTTAGATATTAATCGTTTTAGGTTCATTAATGTCGAAATAAAGGATGCCCTGCAAGAAGTTATGAGTTGCAGAAATATTTTGAAGAAGGAACCAATCGACCCGGCCAATATGGGTTACCAGAACGACGAATTCAAGCTTCTTTGCTACATGGTTAAGGTCACTTCCCACTATTTGATCAAGAAGTAACCATATTATGCTCTGTCCCAAGCACTGCAGAGCCAGTATGGGTCTAGTAGAGCAGTTGCCCCGCGGGAGAAGGAAATTTTTTTGGTCATTTTAGTCTGAATCTGTCGTAGCTCTAAGCCATTTTTGTACGGCATAATTCCAATAACAGTTTGCTGATGTTTGTTTTTATAGGATCAAGGTTTTTGGGAAATCCTTTCCTATGAATAAAGTTTAGTCTTTTATACACTTCTCATTTCTTGAATCATTTCATGTTATTTTGAGTAATAGTTGCTCAGCCAATTCTCTTACTATCCATAAATGGTATAGCTGGTAAGTTGTCTACACCTCTCATGACTTCAGTAGGGTGGTCAGAATGCAGTATATTGTACTTGTTGATGTTGATTGTAGCTTTGTATGCTTTTTCTTCACTTATTTCATCTTTTTTTTTCTGTCTCTTTTAATATTCTGATTTATTGATTTTGGTGGAACAGAATAAAATAACAGGTCCTCACACATTTAGAAGGAAAACTGAACAACCAGAGCTTGCATAAAAATGGAATGTAATTTGAGTACGAATGCATAATCTGACAATTAGAATCTAAGATTGCAGGATACACTCATAATCAATTACAAACTTGTGTGGGTTGAGACTCCAAATGCAAACTCACTTGTATGTGTATCAGTGCCTTGTTTATGGGTTGAAACTTGAAAGGACGTGAGAGCTTCCAGAATTGAACGGTTCCAGTTTTTATCTCTTATTATTGAACAAGGAATAAGCAAATTGTGGTATTGAGATGTAAATTCATTGTCTCTTATGTGACAGTTCATAATGTATGTTACTGCGGCCTGCTTCATAGAACAATTGACTTCAGCTTGCTTACAGGATTATACACTTATTTAGACCATTATTCCAAGATCTTTTGTCTGCATTCTAGGAGTTTATTGTCATTTTCTACTTGATTGCATTTGGTTTGTGTTTCGTAGGACAAAATGACTTTACATTGCATCGTGATAAAAGCAGTGAAACCGGTGATAAATCACTGATTTAGGAGTAATAATAGAACCTCAAATGTGAGAATAGACATGGAGGATGAGAAAGAGGAGAAATCAAGAGGATCCAAAGAATTTTGGAGTGGCATTGAAGATTCTAAAAGGCTAAATATAGAAAATTTAAAATTGAAGACAAAACAAGGCTATTTGTGTGGAATATGTGAGGCAGTTGGACCACAACATTCGGAATAAAGGTCTCCAAAATATAAGTGATACACCAGTGGATACATAATTGAATTAGGAGTCAACTCATTTTATGAATGAAATGTCCTACATGAATTGTGAGAGATTTACTGGAGACTGCTCCATGGAAAAAGCAGAGCCCGAAGATTCTGGCATTTACTGAGAACAGAGAATTGAGCAGGCATCTTGAAGTCAGGATGGCCTGAAATACTTAAAATGCAGTTTTAAGTTTTTTTTTTTTTTTGGATATATAAAGGGTCGGGTTTTTAGGTTTTTAGAAAATATATATATACCACATGGAAATTTGATTAAATAGCCTATTTCATAATATGCTTTGGGATTTTAGCCTTTGACCAGACTTAAAGTATTGAAATAAATATTTTAATTTTGGCAGCTGTAGTGTGAGGGTTCGATTCTTGAGACATGAAATTGAACTCTTTGTAAGCGCAGTATACAGGCAGCTTTTGTTCCTGGCCTGCTGAGGCACATCTCGTGATTTACCTCCTTTACAAAGCTCTAGAGACGGGGCAGTGGGGGCCCTCAAGGTTGGGGTTCAACCTTTTATTTTTAAATAAATATTTTAGTTCAAAATTAATGAACTACCTAAACTACCCTTGTTCCATCACAGTAAATCTTCCTCTCCCTTAGCCAAATTGATTGAACCCTTCAATCCTAAATTCCTCTCCTCTCTCGAAGGCGACGATACCTTCCTCCCATTTAGCTTAGGCGTAAGCACTCTTGAATTTTACTTGGGCAGATTTCCATTTGCTGTTGGCAGAGGAGGAGACTAGGCAAATCTCATGTGGACAATTTGTATGTCTGATCCTCCCAGATCTTTGTATCTTTGTCAATGGTGAACCAGATTCTAAGCCATTTGTTCATTTTCCATGTGTGAATGAAGAGAGCATTGGTTTGATGGTTGAGGGAGAAATGGAACACTTGCCCAGAGATGATTATCTTAGTAGACTCACGACCAGGGATTCAGATATGGGTGTAAAAAGAGAGGTTGTTGATTGGGTGTGCAAGATGAAGTGATTTTTTTGAGATTTGTTTGATTTTTTTCTTGATTATTTGTTCAATCAATCAAATTGGTTTTGATTCTCCTCATGTTTCTTGGATCAAATTCATTTGATTTCTCCATTGATTAGCATTTGTTTTCATTTTCATCTCTAATGCTCTTTTAGTGCTTGTTGATATTTCTCATCAATTTTCTAAAAATGGGGTTTTCCTTCATTAATGAGTTTTCATCTAAAAAGAGGGTTGAAAATGAGGTGCTCATTGGATTTGCTATATTTTATGATAATTCATTCATTTAATGTTTTATTGGGCAATGTAATTATCTTTGTTGATGTTGAGCATTTTGTTCAACTCTCTATTTCTCTCTTTTTATAATTGCAATTATTTATTTTTTATCAATGAGTTATGTTAATTGATCTTTCCAGGCTCATGCTTACAATAGATTTGGAGCATTATATCTGTGTTTGGTTATAAATTACATTGATTGATTTCAATCTGTGTATGAGTTGCTTGTGAGTTCCCAATTGAAATGCCATTTTGTTTTATAGTAATTAAATTCTTATTGTCTCCATTCTTCATATGTCACAATTTTCTCGGTGTTTATTGAAAGGTAAGGCATGGGGGTTTCAGTTGTTAACCGTGGCTTGTTTATCACTAGCAACCAAAATGGAGGAAATTGAAGCTCTTCCACAGTGGATTTACTGGTCGAATTAACATACGTTCCGCTTGCATTGATTTTTCGATATGCTTATGAATTTATTGGTTAGTGTATAACGTGGTTCTATGAAAAGGGGAATATATTCTACATTAGTTGAAAGTTGTTTCTGAAGTTGTTAACAGCTAATTATTGTTTATGAAATTATTCTGGCATATAAACTATATTGGATATTGCTTTCAAGATTCAGACTTATGTCATCCATTTGACGAGTTTGGTTTGGTTACATCTATATTTGGTATTATGTTATTAGATTATTGAGATAAAAAAGAAATTTTCGATTTTTTTCTCAATGTACATGCGAAATGACTTGCTTTCCACGTTATTGCATTATGATATGTTGTCAAAGGTGATATTTGGAGACTTGTTTTTCTTTATACTCCTTACTTTCGTAACTATACAAAGTATAATGTCGTCTTGTCGTTACCTTGCCGTTTTAATGAAAGTAACAAAAATATACTAAACAAAATATCACTTGGTTCCTTACCATTTTAATGAAAGTAACAAGAATAGACTCTACCATATTCATTCCAACACTTCCTACATTAGCACACAGTATTATGGTAGATTTTTAATATTTGTTTATAGCTTATTTAACATGATCATTTTGTATTTTTTAATTGTAGAAATGGAACACTTGTTTGAATATTCCCATTGAATATGTGATCAAATGCAAAACATTTACTGGAGAGTTCCCTTTGGTAGCTTGATTTTTTGGGAAAGAAGTTAAATGACGTTCACTGAAAAATATAATGGTTTCGGAATCAAGTACTAAGATCATATCCTTACAAAGTGATGCCAAAGACTAGTGAAAGAATCATCCTTATTTTAAGTGAGATTGAAATGTAACTTCTTGTTGCCTTCTAAATTTTATTTAAATTTATCATTAGATCTGCTAGTTTGAAGGTTGTAGTTTGTACTAACATACAGTAAATTAAGAATGAAAGCTAACAATTTAGAAGTAGAAAAGGTGGTTACTCTTCTTATTGTGATGTTTATTGCATTGTGTTAAAAAATGATGACCTTTCGTATCCCTATTCATATTTTGCAGTGGTGAAGTTGTAGGCAACTTCATCATACACGCAAACGAAAAATGGCACCATGTTGTTTATATAGATTTGAAAATGGAACTCCATCATTTTAGTGGAAGTATCAAGAATAAATTAGAATTTTCACTCCAATACTTTTCACATCAACTAACATAACTTCCAAAACAAGAAATTCAGCAATCAGACGACCATTACAATTTGAAACCATATCTAGCCATTTAAAATGATGGCATATCGTTTTGGTCGCAAAGTCTCTATATCTCTCCTAAACTAATCACTCATATTTTGGAACATCTTAAAGTTTTTTACAAGCTAAACGAGCTAATTTATAAAGTATGTTATCTTGTAATTGAAACATAATGGAATTTGATTACTTATCTTCGTTCATAGTGAAGTCTACTTTACTTTACTTACGAAAAAATGTTGTTGGTCACTATCAAAAAAACTTCTGTATCAAAGCTAGTATTCAATTTAGTGAAAAACTTGCATTTGTTCATTTTCATATGGACACAAGCGAATATAAAGTGAAGCTAATGCAAAAATAGTTGAAATGGTATCCAGCCATTTAAAACGACAGCACGTTGTTTTGGAAAAAAAAAGTCTCGATTTCATTTTAAAAGTAGTCAATTATATTTTAGAATATCTTAAAAGACGTTAGCAAGTTAAATGAGCTAATTTATTGAGCATTTGAACTCATAATAAAATATAACAAAATTCAAGTTTCTTACCTTCATTTCCAGTCAATTCTAGTGTAATTTTTCTGCGAAACAATATTGTTTGTTACTATCGCGTGCACTTTATATAGTTCACAGTTAAGTCTAATACAATTTACTAACGAAACAATAGTGTTGATATTTATCAATTGAACTTTGTATCGATACTCAAGTCCAAATGTAACTAAAACTTCCATCCGTTCATTTTCATATGCATATGAATGAAAATAAAGTGAAATGGATATGAAATTAGTTGAAACGATATTTAATCATTTAAAATGGCAGCATGACATTTTGGATTATGGGGTCTCGATTTCACTCCAGAATGAGTTGATGTCTTGGAACATCATATAAGATTTATAAAATTTAAATGAGCTAATTTGTGGAGTATCTTATCTCATACTTGGAATTTGAATTATTTAACTTTTTAAAGACATAATGCTATTCTGGATGACGGAGCCTTAATTTCACTACAAAATGAGTCGATCAGATTTATAACATCTTAAAAGACTTATAGAGGTTAAACAAGGCAATTTATTGAATATTTTATCTCATAATTGAAATATAATTGATATTAACTTACTTTCGTTTGTAATTATGTTTAATTCAGTTTATTCACAGAATAACAGTATTGATCATTATCTTGTGAACTTTATATATTTACTCGGATCCAAATGTAATGAAAACTTCTACTCGTTTATTGTCATGTGCATACGAGTGAAAATAAAGTGAGACAGACACGAATTAGTTGAAACGACACCCAATCATTTAAAACGGCAGCATGACATTTTGAATTATGGGATCTCGATTTCACTATAAATTAG